CGATTTATCAATAAAATTCAACTTTTATGAATTTGTACACCATAACGTTTATGTGGCTTAATTGTGTGAGCACAAGTGTACATATATTATATAAATATCTATAATGACAAAATAAATGAGTTTTTTTTAAATAATTTTAGTGAAATGAAATATGCAAACATGGAGCAAAATAAAGAGAAATACATGCATCTCAAGTTTATGGACCCGATACAGTTTCCATTTYCACCGCACAACGATGGTTTCAACGTTGTCGTTCTGGTGTAGAGGTGGTGGAAGATGCGCCACGCTCCGGAAGGCCTGTCGTCGAAAATTGCGATAAAATCGCTGAATTGGTCGAAAGTGACCGGCATAGTAGCAGCCGTAGCATCGGTCAAGAGATGGGCATGAGTCTTAAAAAAAAATTTATGAACAATTGAAAATTCAATAAAAATACCCCAAGACCTTTTTGACAACCTAATATATTAATTTTGTAACTAGAACTGTGTATGCTGCACAATTCGGCAGAACTTGAAACAAACACTTTTGCCATTCTTAGTGAGTTGTTTAAAAAACATGCGTTCTGAACGCATCAACTGAATCTTTTCACGTTCCGAAAAACGATGACCTTTTAATTTATTTCTTTCGCACGGGAATAAAAAGACGAGARATTGCGAGAGTTCGCAATGCCATAGTAAAGAGTGATTCATGTTTGACGGTGAGTTTTCCCCATTCCTTAAAAGACAACTAATAATAATAGTTGAGTCTAATAGTTGAGTATCATTCAAAATCTACCGTTTTGAGTAATTTAATGGCTCAGTTGAGTCATCTCCAGATTTTTATTACCAAAAAAGCAGAGAACCATTTGTTTTGTGCGCGAATAACTTTTGTTATTTAACTCATCTAGAAACACGCATGAAGCCAAGTAATGTAACTTTTGGGTTCATACACGTTAATCCACGATTAACCACTTATTAAGATGTCATAAACGTGTTTCGAAGTTYCACTATTGTACTTTTTTTTACATTTTCCAGCAATCGATCACATCACACGAGCAATCGCTGCCAGCGCGATTTCCAAGAATTGAAGGCGGCACAGAAGGCATTTTCACTTCCAATGAAAAAATTCGAATATATTTTAACAAATATAATAAAAGTAAGTTAAGTATTTAAGATGTGAGTAGGATTAAATTAAAAAAAAAAAATTATAATGGGCATGACAAGCAAGCATAAATTCCAAATCCACCCATTTAACCATGTCTTCATGTCCATGAGCAACTCCCCGAGAATTTTCAGACTGTTATTTGCAATAATTCAGTGCGCAGAGATAAAACTCCAGCGTAACTATCGGAATGCTGTGATCAGCGAGAGTCAAGCAGTACTCAAAACGATCTCGTCATATAGACATTGCTGGTAATGAAAAGGCGGATGAACTTCCCCGATCTGCAGTGGCTATCACCGCAGGCATAAGAACTACCTATATAATAATACCATAGTCGATTGTGTCGATTCAAGGGGCTGGATCGCGAAGCAATCTGTAAAGACAGAAATAAAGCCCCGGGAGTCCAAACAGGGAGCACAGACAACGATTTTTGAATTTATAAAGGAGCAGGGCCTATGTAAGCCCTTGTGGTAGAAGAGAGAACACAAAGGACCATTGGTGACAGTTCATATCTCCATCACTACTCATTTGATATTAATATTTCTTAAAATTAGTGTATGTAGATTAAACATACCTGCTGCACATTTTTTCGAACGTCGCGACCGCCGAATTTGCTTTGTGTATTGCTAAATCCACCACCGYCCACACCCGAGCATGATCGAAGAAATTGGGGCACCTCTTGTGAGGCGCCTTCCAGTATTTTCACCAAATCGCTTGCTATGGCCGAGTCCTGTTCTGGATCAAAGAAGCTGGTTGCTCGTCCGTTATTACCGACGCGACCTGTGCGCCCGATACGATGGACATATTCATCGACGGAATTCGGAAGATCGTAGTTGATGACATGTTTAACATTTTTTATATCTAACACAAAAAATGCAACTTGTAAAGCCGAAAACAAAATCGGATAATCAAAGCTTGCGTACTTACCGAGACCACGAGCGGCGACTGAAGTCGCTATTAGGACCTTCATTTTCCCGGACTTGAAGTCAGCTAAAGCCATTTCTCGTTGACGCTGCAATCTGTCGCCATGAATTGAAGTCGTAGGAAACTCAGTTTCCGAGAGTAAAGAAGCTAGAAAATCTGCACCGCGCTTTGTCTCAACAAAGACAATGGTTCCATCGCTGCTTTCACTAAGTAATTCCTAAACAAATGAATAATCGTAGCTCATTTTACAAAATGTCTGTACAAATATAAACAGTAATACAATTTACCATTAGTTTGGAACGTTTTTGAAATTTTTTAACTTCAAAAATCTCTTGTGTAACATCAGAGCATGCACCACCTACCACACCAATGGTGATGAATATATAGTTTGATAAATAAGCACCAGCTAAACGTTGTATTTCCTCAGGGAATGTTGCAGAAAACATTAAATTCTGACGTTCATCCATGCGGCGCATTGTCGGATGATTCATAAGGGTATTAACATTGTCTTTAAAACCCATATCCATCATGCGATCGGCTTCGTCCAGCACAACGTAACGGGTCTCTTCAAATGTAATAAAGCCCTTTTCGACAAAGTCYAACAAACGACCAGGAGTGCATATCAAGATATGGCAGCCTTTGGCAATGTTTTCGCCTTGATATTTGCTTGAGGTGCCACCATAGACTATGCTGATTTTCAAATAAGAACCTAAAGCAAACTTTCGAGCTTCGGAAAAAATCTGGATCGCCAATTCGCGGGTTGGAGAAACAATAACCGCCTGCGGTTTTCCAATTGACAAATCACAACTTTCTCCTAAGATACCATTAATGATAGGAAGCAAAAATGCAGCCTGTGATTAGAAATAAAAAAAAATATATGTGAAACCCAATAACAGTAAATATATTGGAGGTATGCAGTCTTGAAGAGTGCTATTTCTGCACACTTTAAAAACAAATTATTCAAATCAGTTTTTAGTTTTATCGAATAAGTGTATGACAATAATCGTTAACGAGTGTGTGTCTTGACTTCCACAACTTATAACAGTAMATTGGTACCGTTCCATGCTAAATAGTACCATAAATTTTTTTAAAAGTGATCTTAATTTTCTAAAAAATCAGCAAAGCTTCTAAACTTAACAACATGCATGCTGGAAGAGCTATCATCAGTAAAAGCACGGCTAATCCCTTTAAATATCCCGATATATAATGGCTGAAATAAATAAGAAATTTGGGTTCAGCATATCTAGTGGACGAAAGAACCGAAAAAAAAACCATTGCTATCCAAAAGAAACACAAGAACACGGCCGAACTTTGGTAATTAATATTTAATTTGGACAATGATCCAAGATACTCAAATAATAAGACAGAACAAAGTATTAACGTTGTGAGTGCTGAAAAGCTATAACACTTACAGGGTTTGTCCGGAAAGTAATAGGAATGATTTTCTTCCRACTGGATTCAGTAGTCCTAGCTAACGAGCAAGCAGTTTCTGTGAGTGCTACAAGCCGAAAATGCAGCTTTCGTTATAGAGAGCAGACGTTAAATTTACCAAAATCTGCGGTTCATGACATTGTGACGGAGCACTTGAACATGATTTACGCGAAGATGGTCCCAAAAAAACTCAATGACGACCAGAAATCGCGACGAGTGGGAGTGTGTCGAGAAAATTTGAACATGTGTGAAAGTGACCCCAATTTTTTAATAACGTAATCACTGGTGAAGAGTTATGTAAATCTCGTTGGCAGCGCTCCAACGACACAGAAGCCTATTTTGAAAATATTTAAAGAATTKTAACGATTGGTTCAATACTTTCCTGACAAACCCTAAAACAAATCTAATAAATTTTCTTAATTTCCGCAGAATCGGAAATGTCCAGGACCATACTACGCAATCGGAAGCTCAATCACTATTTTAAAAATAACTATTGAAAAAATTATTTTAATTGTTCGTACATAACTTCYCCAATTCTTAGTTTTTTCTATTTTAACAAAAAAAACATCGTTTTACTACATGCTCAAGGAGTACTATTTCTCTGACCATGACTACATATGCCAATTGTACAATTAAATTTACACTCACCGTTTTTCCCGATCCTGTTTGGGCACATGCCATTAAATCTCGACCATCCATTATTACAGGTATAGCGGTTTTCTGAATAGGCGTTGGCACAGTATAACCCGACTTTAGCACGTTATTCATGATTATGTCTCGCAAGCCTGCATTTTCAAACGTCAGTAAAGGTGGTGGAGCGTTTTCGCCCGAAACCTAAGCAGAGAAGAAATCGTTCAAATATCATACAAGTATATTTAGTACTCAAACAAATTAGTTGCTTACCCTAACAGGAATGTTGTCATATTTGGAGAAATTTATTCCCGATGAAATTCCACTATTAAATATTTCATCTTCATTGTCGGTGGGTTCCGGAGGTATGTAGAACTCTCGTTGTTTCTGCTCGCCTTCATTCTCTCCCTTATTATTATTGTTGAGACCAGTATCGTTGTAATCTCTATTGCCATTGAAACCATTACGATCGCCACCAAAACCATTTCGTCCACGGCCGCCCCGTCCACCGAAACCACGACCGCCGCGACCACCACGAAAACCGCCACCAACACGATTTCCATTTTCTTTAAACACGAGTGTTAGGTATTTTTAAATATAAAATAAAACTAATGTCATAAGGACCATTAATAAAAAAAAAAATCGTTTCTAAAAAGCTTGTTGGCTTTAAATATATGAATTATCGAACTAAAACTTTGCTTCGAAGTTGGAAAAACTAGCATTGAAATTCAGAAATTATATTATCAGACGTACAAAAAGAAAACCAACGTTTTCACATAGGTGGAGCCAGCAAAGCAAATTGATTGAKTCAACAGTGCCAAGGGTCATTTGCGGAAAGTATTGCTTTTGCTTTTCATTCGAAAAAAAATGYGCARGCTCGTCAAAGGATTGTAKWAACTAGAAGGACCGTGTCGAGAATAGTTCACATATGGCGAATATGACGTGGAAGGCAAGTAACGTGCGCGCCCGTAAAAAGTTTGATCGGTKCGGCTTAGAGGACTATGAACTCTTGCAACCAGTCGAAACCATTACAGGAGTCCTCTATCGAACACAACTAATAGGTTTGAGTCGAGCATTGAAGGAAAAATGTCTGCAAAACTCGACAAGACAAGGCTCGGCTACATGTTGCCGCATAACCYGGCCAAATAGCACTTTCGTTCTTAAAAAGAAGCCAAAAATTGGATCGCGTCAAAAGAAAAAAAATCAGAAGTAGTCACAAATATATGAAAAAATTGTGGCTAGCGATGGAAAATATTCCAAACCATATGTAATATACACATTCACTTAGTACATATATATTACCAGACTTCAACAGAGTTAAATTAAATAAATAAGGGACAAATTTAATAGTGGACGCATATTATTGAACGCACATTCAACTCTACTTTCGACAAAAAAACATGTATACTGCGATATTTCATTAGTTTTAAGTGATGAGGAGGTATATATTGTTATGAACTTACAAACCAATTAATTTAAACTTTTGATATTAATAACGACATAACAATAGCGGAAAAGGAAATTATGCTGGCAATAATACGAAGCTAGTCAACYCAAATTATCCATACAGATGCTGCTACCCATTTAATCCAACTGCAGCAGAAATACAACGACCTAAAGAGTCAACAGTTCAAAAAGTTCGGATAGACATTTTATATTCGGAAATCGCATATTGATACCAATAATGCTTTCATTTATTGMCCTAATATTGCTTGTTTAATTGTACGAACATGAGTCATCAGCGATACTACCTATCTAAGATCGATTAGGCTCATAAGAGATCAAGTTAAAGCAGTGGTGGATTCACTTAAGATAAAATATGACCTAGACCGATGATTTTAAACTACGCACGTATACGAATGGATAAAGAGATCTACAAACAATTTTTTATGTTGGTGTGAATTTGGATATTACGACGCAAATTGTCTGGCGATTTTTATCTTCTGCGTCAATGGACTCATGGTGCGTTCCCCAAAGAGGATTTTGCAGCTCGGCAGATAGAAAGACACATCAACGAAACATTCTCCTAGCCGTGATTCTATTGGAAACACAAGCACACAAGCAAACTCGTTGTTCAATATTGTCGTACACAATCAGTTGACAGGGCAGCAGTCCGGGACATAYTTGATTGTAAGTGTACATATTCAACATTGATAGACACACGCACAAGTACTGATGTTTCAATTATATTTAGGTATTTACTTCTAAGGTTGCGAATCATTCATCATTAAAAAAAAAATACTGACTAATCGTAAAAAATGCGCACAATGAGGGAAAGTTAAATTAATTCCACCCAATGCCCATGCTCCTTTATTCGTATAACCCCGGCAGATTCGAGTTCTATTAAAAAATTGAATGCAACCGCAGCAAGACTTCTGTTTTTCAATAAACGACTCTTCATCACATTAAACGACACATTGCGAATAATCTCTTGCAATAAATTAATTTTGAGCTGCAGGCGTGCTATGTCAGCTTTTAGAAGGGTCTCCACGTCGTAAGCGTAATATGCTGGCAGTAACGCAGTTGATGTATTTGTTTCACTATTTCGATTGCAAGCTTTTAACACACTCTGCCATTCAACTAGGTTATCCATGATAGTCGAAATCGACTCGATGTGCTCATATACAAATTGTTCGTAAGATGGCTGCTCTACAACTGTAAGTTGTGTTTCGTGTACATTATTCAAATTACAGATATGTGTGACGTCCGCCGTCGATTCTAGTGGCACTGGTAATTGACTGGGCAAAGGAGATAAAGCGTGAAGTATTTCAGGAATATTGGTTTGATAACTCACATCAAAATCACATGCTCGTGTCAATTTTAAATTCTGCGGGGCTCGGCGCTTACGGCATCTTTTGCGTTTTTTTGGTAAAAATCCAAATTTATTATATTGTAGATCCACTTGCCGTTCACGTAGTACTTCCAACCAATTCCGGGGTTCATTTAAAGTGTCTAACTCCTCAGGTATTTGGACAAGTAACAATGATCCTGATGGCAAACTTTTCTTATCTGTTTTTCTTTCAACAACCTTTTGGTGTTGTGATGGTTGAGTTATAGTCGTTTGTTCAACTGCTTCAAAATCTTTAGAGACCCCAATGGCAGATGTTTGCACATCTTGATTTACTATCGAGACTATACCAGCTTCTGTGCTTTGTATATTATCACCAGTGATGAGTTCGGTGCTGCCCTCATTTGCATAACTTTGAAAATGCGGTACTTCCCTCCCTTCCGAAGCTAYACCGTCTAAGGGACGTAACGGCGTTGAAGAGATATCGCTGTTACGAACAGTCCTCCTTATTAATGTTCGTCGAAATTCTTCTTCTCGTATTGATGGTAAAGTTGCAGTTCTAGAGGTTGATGGTTCTGTGCGTTGGGCCAATAAAGGGCCTGAAATAAGCTTAATTTTTTTAACACTTTTTAACTGATCCTCATCTGAGCGTGATAATATTCCTGCGGAGATTGTTGTCGGATACGGGGTGAGAAATGTAATGTCTGTCGATGATTCAGGCAAAATGTCACTCTGTTCCTGTTGACTGACGTAATTTGCAAAAATTATAAAAAAAAAAAAATGCATACATTAAATCCAAAAAAACTGAAATATACTATAGTTAAAAGCATGATACATGATTGCAATTGAAGTGAATGCAAGTTTTGCACAGCTTAAACAATAAAGGAGAAATTTAAACAACTGAAGTAAGGCATATTATCAAAGCAACTATTGTAGTAATCGTAATGGTGGCCAATTTAAAGGAARAAATTGCTCTAACTAGAATATGTCTCCATAAACTGAGTGAAAGAAGAGATAATTCTCCCGAGCACACCACATCTTTCATAAGAATAGAGCTTTGTTAAGTCAGAAAATTATTATTAGTCAAACACTATTGAAACTTTATTCACYGTAAAACCATAGCTAAAATCCATTAATCATGCTTTAGTGCATTCAATAATATTGATTTATATTTTAATTATTGTATGTTTGTACCCGCTAGTTTCTGTGCATCGTGGCAAAAAATCTGAAATCTCCTCTGGTGTATTGAATTGCTCATTCAGAATTTGCATTGATAAGCCGTCCGAATGTGATCGCACCAATTGTATTGGAGGTAAACCCGAAGTCGATGATACCGTCACATGTTGGCGAGCAATATTGATGCTTGTCGATGTCCCTGCAGCACTGCCCTCTTCTAGTTGCGAATGATCTTCAGAAAACGGTACAATTTGATGCATATCAGGCGATGCAGCGTTCGCCCATATGTCTTCCAATGGAAAGAAATTATACGTCATTTTACGCATAATATTGATGAGTGTATGGTTTTTCGGAACAATTTTTAAACAATTTCGCATCGATAAAGGTTTTCTTAATGCATATTCCCGCTCCGTTATATGTATACCCTTATTTGGAATAATGTCAAGTCCAGCACCTAGATTATTATAGTTAACGCTACAATTAGTTTTTCTACGTTTAAAAGGGATCATAGAAGTAGTCGACATTGGAGTCTCTTGATCCTGTGAGGTAGATATTACATCTTTGAATAAGTCTGGTAAATCGGATAACTTAGATTGATTTATTGTTGCTAAACCGATGTTTTTGGACAGTTGCATTTTGTAGTGTGCTTTTCTTTTTTCGTYTATCATTTCATTTGGTGTAGTGTCAACTCTAACATTTTCAATCACATTTGAATTTTCTTGATCAATATCAAATTTTTCTTGTTGCGTTTCGTGATTATCACCATTCCTTACAACCATCTCCTCTGTGGATGCATTATCTGAAGAAGTATTATTCGTAATAATTTCTGTAGACAAGCATACTTTATACGCTTCCAACAGATATTTAACTATGCAATAGAGTTCATCAATATTGTTTGTCGCTTGTATACGGCCGGGCACTTCGGGTAAGAATTCTTGAATAGTAGCTCTCATAAAGTTATTGGGCACAAAATTATGTGCTGTCGATTGGAATTCGGGCGGTTGGGCTGGAAAATATCGGTACGAATCAACGCGTTGTATAAAACGATTTAAAAAAAAAGCTTATAAGAAATAAGATAACTCAATTCTTTCTTTGTATATGCGAAAGTATCTATGTGTAGCATAAAAACTAAAAGATTGTTCGGTCAATGAAACTTAATAATTACTGAGTCGCTAAAATAATATGAAGGCAAACTTCTAACCTCATTGAATCTAAAGTGTCGAACAAAACATAACGGACTGATGACTATGAATGCTAAAAACATCTCGTATACTCCAAATCACAATTTTGGATATAAAGRAAATTAATTTTACATTAAGATAAATAATTTATTTAGTGAAATAATAAAAATTATTCACTTCGATGAAACATATTCGAGTGGTCTTAGCTTATAGCGATAGGCGACGAAAATCCCGTTTGTTATGACGATGTCCATTTCAAAATTTWAAATTTTTTATGTTTTTACAAAAAGTTACGTCGCGATTAAAATTCTACTTATTTCAATGAATCTAAAACAAATAGGAGCCATGGTTGGAAATAAATATTTCGTTTCATTAAAAAATAATWATTATTATTAAAGACCAAAAGAAGTGGTGCATCTCAAAAGGACATTTTTAACAAGTTTTACGTCACTGAATTAACATTTTCATTACAATAAAATTTAAGGAAAGCGTATCTCTGAGAACTCATTAACACGGAGAAAGACCTCAAATTACAACATGGCATGATTCAAAAAGTTAGAGAACTAAAACAGTTTCCAGATAATTCGTTTTAAGCGTGGTTCAGGAATTAAATATGCAAGTTTGATGCCGTACTGAAGAGCGTGTGCGGGTGAGGTAAAAAGTTATAGAGCAGCCAAAAAGGTGTTTATATAAAAAAAATCGACTAAGACGATTACAATTTTCGACTTCTGCGTAGGAATCGAAGTGCTGCTCAGCCAATGCATGTACCATCGATGTAAACAAATGGTAATCGGAAAGGACCMAGGCATGTGGGTAGCAACTCCCAGCCTGCCAACTTTGATTTTTCCCTGAACCAATTTCACTTTACATACAGGTGCATCGTAACAAAATTATTTTGCCGTATCGTCTGGCCTATTTTGGTCGTTTTTCGATCAATGCATGATTCAAATTGAGCACTTGTTGTCTATAGCGATGTTGAGGGAGCGGCAGAATTATGCTGAGCGTACAGTTCTTGATCGAATAAAAATTCAGGTCTGTTCTGGTTAAGACTGTCATGGAACTATTTACCGAATCGGTTGGCTTTTGCAGTCAATGTTGATGGTGACCTGGTCCCGGGTCAGCMCAGGAATTTCTCCGCTTAGGAATTCTTAAAATGAATACGTTTTTCATCGCCATTGACRATTCGATACGAAATTGATTTTATTTTGTGTATTTTCTTGCAAAAACTGAAATTACTTGTTATGCAACATTCAACATGGCTGCCATTTTCTTTTGATTCAAAGTATCATCTTCCAATATTGTTGCAGTTCGGCGTGTTTTAAATTTTTTGGTGATCTGCTTTCTACGTTCTTCATTTCTCACATCAAAATCATTATTTCTGAACTGTCTGATTCAATGCGGTTCTACAGCACCTGTCTTCAAATGAAAACAAAAAATTAATGCTTTCCGCAAATGTAACTTTTCAGTACAAAATTTGGCTTCACTGTAAAGTTATTGCATAGGTTGGTTTGACAGATGTTATCCTAACTAAACASTAAAAATTAAGGCTCATTTACAACAAATCTTTATCTTAAAATTTTAAATAACAATCGTTTCGTTGGCGCACTGAATATTGCATATGTTTAGTTTTTTTAATGGCATGAGATCGAACACTTTCGATAGTTTTGTAAGTTTTCATAAAATATTTTTTTGTTTTATCTGAGTGATATTTTCACATTGATAATAATAATTCCGAGAATAGKAGATGATAATATTTTTAATTGTAGGTATGAATCTTATATTTACAAGTTCAAACGATTTATTTTTTGAGAGTGTATGTTGAGAGGTACTCAAATGCAGTGGAAAAAACGGGCGCTTTGTTTTTAATTAAAAACGGAATATTAAAAAATTTCAAGAAAAAATTCAACATATATAATGCGACGAAAGCCTGAAATGACAACAATCAGTGTTGATATCTTATTAACTTATATTATAGACGATAGTTATTTAATTCAGCGTTTAAAAAGCTGCGCTACTCCCGTAGCATTTCATTTTGCTATTGCTACCGCCCTTACTTTACMGGTAACCATAGCAGAACAATGTAAAAGTATGAGCTCTGCCTTGCTCGGAGTTTTAGGTAAAAAACTATTAAGAGAGGATTAAGAAGGTAAAAAATTAAGTGAGAAATTTACCATCTTTATGACATTTGCCTTTCAAGAAATCAAGAATCTTCACCACGTCAATGCGAGCTCTCACACATCCACTGAAACTCTGACTCACTGAATTTTTAAACATTTAAAAAAAACAATTTGATAAGTAAAGTCTTGACTTTGCCCCGAATGGCTTCTTTTTATTCCTTTATAAAAACAAAGGTGGCCCGACATGTAATGTTTTGTAAAAAAAAAAATAAAATGTTTCGACACCTAAAGAGGCAGTTCAAGAGCATGTAAACATGTACAGATACTAATTGAGAATATTTTGAAAAACAAAAAAATAGTTAAAATATGTTTTTGTTCTCTAATTCCGAAATATAAAAGACAATTAAGCGTAAGGACCGAAATGGAACCATTTGGTGTCAATTGCATGCCCCTTCGAATAACAAATGTCGGCGTTTCAGCTAAAAAAATAGGTACGTTATGCTCAGAACAATCCATTTAAAACTTCCAACGACTTAAAAATGGAATTAAATTTCCAACTACAAGTAATTGCATCATTAAATTTCACTTTCAACTCAAAGTGTTAAATGGATTTTAATATAATATTTACTTGAAACGGGTTAAGGTTTTTTTTTTTTTTTTTTGACATGCTATTATTATGGGTGCCGGGCCACAGCGGAATCTCAGGTAACTGCAAAGCTGATGAGCTGGCAAGGAAAGGCACCCTAGAGTCGCTATCGGTAAAATGGAAACGGGTCGGTGCTCCTGTATCCTCTTGTGTTCTACTGCTGGACAGCTGGGCCTCGCGACTGCTTAGTCAACGCTGGGCCAGCACTGCTACTTGCGCAGTCGTAAGAGCCTTTTGGCCCAATATAGATCGCACATCTAATGATCTCTTTGCCCTCAGTCAAGCCAGCCTCTTGTTAGTGATGGGGCTCTTGACGGGCCACTGCCTTATTGGCATACATGCGGTAAGACTGGGAATTATACCGGACGCCGCATGTAGAAGCTGCTTGGAAGAAGATGCGGTAGAAACTAGCCAACACTTCCTTCTTGACTGTCCCGCTTTTGGGAGATCAAGACTCAGGCACTTGGGTGCGCATACCTACAGACATCCCACCGAACTGGCGGGCGTAGAAATTAAACGCCTTTGCAAATTTGTATTTGCTACTAAGCGTTTTGCCGATCCTTAAGTCCGAACACGGGAGTTCTTTTTTCGATGGCTACACAAAGGACCACATCTAGTCTACGTACGATCTATGATCATCCATCTAACCTAACCTAACCTATGCTATTATTATTTCGAGGTCAACATTTTAAAGTATAATAAGAAGAATTTAACAGTATTAAATAAACGCCATCTCATAGAACTTTCTCGCTACTTCATTGCAAGAACCCTAAACCTTTCCCCTGTCAAGTCCCTGCTCACCCTTATTACAAATTAGACGAAGTACAGAGTGGACCTCGACATTTCCGTCTACGACGTTAAAAGTCCGACGATAAACAACCCGATAAATTGTAGGCGACTGTCTGCTTCCCTACGCACACAACCGCAATTGTAACAAAAAAGTACAGAGCCGTAACCAGATTCTCTAGTTGCTAGTCGGCAGCAGTGGGGACACGGACAAAGAGTGATTTCTCTCAAGCAGGGTTTGCATAAGTGTTACAAAAACAACTAAATTTTTATACCTTTGCAACAATATATAATAGTTTACCAAACGGTTGTAGGTATCACCGAAAACTAATCTATATATCGTCACCTGAAATGCAAAATAACGTATCATCAAAAATTTCAAAATTGGTTGTCTTATTGATTAAGCTTCACTACTTCAAATTACATATGTTTCATTTTCATTTTCAGGTTCTGAGCTTTCAGATATAAACCAGTTTTAACCAATATGACCGAAAATGCTGTTACGTTATTTTGCACTACAGGTGACGATATACGATATCTTTATATATAAAAAAGTATGTATGTGTGTACGTGATACGTTACTTGTACGCGATGGACTCCTAAACTGAACCGATTTTAGTAAAATTTAGCACACTGGGTCCATTTCGAATGAACTTAGAACATAGGATAGTAAAAACAATTAATAAATGAAAAATACAGTGAAAGCTCATTAAAAAAGCAGCCTTAAATTTGTCATTCTTTCGATGAAATTTATTTGTATTAACAAATTCAAAATAAAATCTCAGTTACTTGGATTCTTATACCGACAAAAACGACCGCCTTTATTCATAAATAATTATTTCACTGTATTTAATTGTTTATTATTCATATAACGCATAGTATAAAATCTTATTATTAATTAACCCATTTATAACCAAGGAATCAAAAAATAAGTTTATTTACAATTTTCAGTTTTAATTGATTTATACCATCGCAGAGATGAACAAAAAAAAAATTTTTTTTTTTACATATACGAAAATTTTGCTGTACCCACACGAGTACAATGGTCCAGTGTATAAAATATTTGAGTGGGCTATTTTAAAACAGTCGCGTTCCACACACAGAGCATTACCACATAGCTCGCAAATCCACCTGATTCGTTTATGGCAGACTGTGCATCTGAGAGGCTTGAGGATTCTCATTGGAAAATGTGCTCCTCCAGCTGTAGAAACAGAGCTAACGCGCGCTTAGAATATTTTTTCAATGTGTAGTGTCGTAGGTAGTATCGCGCAATGTC